TTATTTTTCTCAAATTGTTGATATGATTTTCAAGAAAATACTTGAAAAATATGAAATTAAATAAGAAAATAAAAAATTTTAATATAAATTATTTTCCTTATATTTTCCCCTATTGAATTTTCCATTTATTTCCCTCTTCCGATTAAGGAATGCCCTTGAACTTTGGGAAGAGATAAATAAATAATAAATTCGAGGACTGCTGAGTGGACTATAATTTAAAATGAAAATGCATTCAAATGTCAAAAGCAAATAAAACAACTGTAAATTTACACTTAATAAGAGAAGTAAAAATAAATATAAAATATAAAAATATAAAAATTGAAAACCATAAAAATAATAGCTGAGAGCTATTTTTCGACCAACCAATACCAATAAAATCCAGAAAAAAATATGCAAGCCAAATGCAAACAATAGAAGCTCAGCCATGGAGCAATGGAGCGAAATTCATGATATCAAACCAAAAATATTTTGAATATTTTTTACAAACAATTTTACAAACACGACAACTCAAACTAAAATTTGAACAAAATTTTTTAATTTTTTTTAATTTTAGTTTATTTTTTTTTAAATTTTTTAAATTAAAACTCACCATAAATCTTGAATGCATAAAAGACTTTAATGTCTCTCGGCGCTTGTTCGCTAAACACAGACAAACAGTCCAAAAAATCTTCAAAGGATAAACTGCCCTGACCATCGCGTGAGAATGCCTCACAGATGCGGCGCCGAAAAGGATTCTCACGTAATTCTGGCATCTTCTCAATACATTCAGGTGGAACCTTGACACTCGATGCTTGGCCCTCGGTCATTTGGCGCGGTACCAAATCTGGTCGGAGTTCACGAAAACGTTTATGAACGCTGTAATATTTTAAATTTCCCTTACGATTATTCCATAAAGACACAATGGCAAGAATATTACAATAATAATTCAGACAATGCAAATGAAAAATAAAAATAAAATAAATTTTAAGTTTTAAAATTAAAAATAAAAAAAAAAATAAAATAATTGTACTGCAGTAGATGTGCATTAGGAGTAATCACGGAAATATTTCAGGAAAAAGTTTATTCCACATGGCTTGGTTTAAAAAATTATTTTATGGATTACTTGCAAACATGATTACATATCATAGAATTTGAATTTTCCCTCAAAAAATTGCTTACTTTCAGAAAAAACGTCCACATTTGTATGGGAAGCTTGAGTTTGTTTTGTAATATATTAGAAAAAGTTTTTATATTTAAATAAAAAATCATGTTTCAATCATGACAACTCTCTTAAATCCCATGTTAACCCATTATTGACTAACAATTGATATTGTTAAGAAATCAACTTTTACAGGTACACCAAGTTAATATGTCAGCAAGTTTGCAACGTTGCATCATATGAACCGAAAGTACATTTGATCCCCATAAGTCAATATTTTGCTCGTTACCAACATGTTTTCTTGATAATCCAATATTTTAAATCCATAGTGTTGTTTCTACATAAATGAAAAACTATGAGGGGTTTATCATAAAAAAATCATCATTATCATTTTCGAAAAACAAGAACTTTCGTAACACTCAAAGCACTATCAAGACATACATATGCCATCTGACCACAGATGGCAATATCTGATACTACGGGGGTCAGTGGCTCACAGCTTCGGCTGTGCTGACCATTTGAGGTTGGATTCGTAGTGGCTGTGGTGAATACCCAAACTTGCGCAGGAAGAATTTTCAGTTTTCGTTGCATTCGGCGTGGAGATGTGTATTCATCACCCGGTGCTACAACCCACATTGTAGCAGTGGTATTGATAGGCCTCGCATCAAACCAAGGTGGAAGTTTTATGTCTTACACATATTTCTTCATTGGTAACCGGTGGAATTACCGAGAAGATTCCAATGGGGCGTTCATCGGCGCAATGTACCGATGCATGTGTGTAGAACACCGTGATGTTAAGCACGGCAGGAAATAACGTTAATTATTCTGGACTTCTGTCGTGTGGAAGGCTTTGTATGTATGAAAAAACTTAATACCTGAACGGATTTTTCAGTTCAGGTACGTAAGGTATATTACAAGATTTCTAGTAAAATCGTTATTATAATTAAGATATTCAAAAGTAATATAAATTTGAAATTTATAATAAAATTGAAGAAAAAACTATTTCAGTGGTAGAATAAAATTAAATTTGCCAAAAGAAAAATTTACTCCTCGTCTTTAATGAATAAATAATTCCTATTATTTCGCTTAGGGTTTCATAGTCTGCAGGGAAGATTTTACTGGACGAATTGGAGCATAACGAGAATTACCTCATTAAGATCAAAATCTCAAAAGTTTTTCCCAACTGACAGGTGCAACCTTGCTATAAGATTACTCAGAGTGACTAAAAATATGATCAATTACAATTTTATCTTACTATATGAAATTAAGAAAAGTTAAATGATTTGTTCTTAAAGGTATATTCTAATTCTTTTAAAAAATATATTTAGAATATATATATATAAATATATAGTATAAATTTTTACTCAGACAATCTTACTTTTCACACATATTATAACGTAAATGTCGTCGCTTTGAAAGTAGTAATCGAGATGAAGGAACAGTCAATATGACCTGTAAGGGTTGAAGATGTGTCAACGAAGACAATGATCATATGACAGGTGGAAATGTGATGGTCACAGATTTTAAGAATACATATGGAGTAATTCATAGAAATTAAATTTTTTGAACTAGATATATTAATTAATTAAACCGACTCAATAAAATTGAATGTAAAATCAAAATCATTTGAAGAAAAAAAATATATATCAATCTTTCATATTAAGACAGCCACCGCAAAAATTCAATATTTCTTCACTACACTCTCTATATTTTTTATATATTATTTTATATTTTTTTTATTTTATATTTATATTTATTTTTATTTTTATTTTAATATTTATTTTATTTCTTTATTTTATATTTTTTCCAATGCCAATAAAGAAATTTCGCTCTAAAATAGTAAAAACACTTATATTGCAGTCTTCCAAAAATATGAAGGATACAAAAACTCCAGAAACCTTAAGGGGTGTACTCAACTCAACACTATATTGAGAAATAAACCTTTCTTCTTAAGAAAATCTATTCAACTCACGTACTTGTATAAAATACAATTAAGAAGCCACTTTTAAAAAATAAAAATAATTTTAATTAAAAAACTTACCGTAAAATTTCCTTTCGAGTAAAAAATGTGCAATCCTTGAAATAAATAAATATTATATTAATTAATTTTTGAACAATAATTAAAATATTTTTAGACTCACTTGATAGTCGTCTAATTGCTGTTCAGTAAATGTTACCACTGTATTTCCCATTTGAAATAATTTTTATTTATAATTAACAATAACGTTATTTTTATCTTTAAAATTTTAAATTTATTTTATTTTTTTGTGGGGCAACTAATGTATCTGGGTGTCAGTATTCCGTGATAGCCTCTTTAATACTGAAAATATTTATTAATATTTTCTTATATTTTCGCTACAAACAGTTTCAAGCATTTTGATATACTACAGCAATAAAGGAATTTCGCTGTGTTCACTTGCTATCCTACCCAGCGGGTGCAAAAACAAATTAATTAAGGAGTGTTCTTCTTCATTCTCTGAAAGCATTTTCCAGCAAAATACTTACGCTTTCCACTCTGATATGGTTTTTCATCCTTGCGATTCGCTTGCTTCCGAAGGTGTGGCAACACGCTGGCTGATATTTTTATGAGTGTCACGTGTGAAACAGCATATGCTCTATGCTTCATACCATATATATGAAGAAATAAATATTATATATATAAATATATATATATATAAAAATAACAAAAATAAATAAATTTAAGTGAAAACCACTTTTTGAATTTTTCCTCAATTAATGCATTTTGCAATTACTTTTAAAAAAGAATTAAAATATTTTAAATTATTGTATTGACTACATTCATTTATTTTTTTTATATACATTTTGTTTTAATTTTAATATTAATTAATTTATTTTTATTTAATTTTGGTATATGTGTGTCTTATGTATAAGTAATATTATATTTAAGTATTTGTATGTATATTGTAAGATAGGCTCCTGGGAATGTATATTCTTACGGAAGAGGCAAGTTTTGGGAAATGAAAAAGCTGATGAGCTAGCCAGAATTGTATTAAAAACTGCTTTTATAGGCCCTCAACCCTTTTGTGGAATAAACTAGGCCAGTACAAAACAGATTTTCAAGGAAAGGAAAAATCAAATGCGGCTGGAGTACTGGGTAAACTTTCTAGAACTCAGACAAAGTAGAGCACTGATAACACCGTATTCCTACAACGACATTCTTAAATTCTCAAAATGCAATTTATGGTTGATAACGGGTTTCATTACGGGTCATTATAGTCTGAAATATCACCTTCATAAACGACAATTATCTGCTAATTCGGAATGCAGATTATGCCTCGAAGATGACATTCTTTGTGACTGTCCAGCTTTAATAACGCACAGAAGAAACCTCTTTCATATGGAATTTCTGTGACCAGAGCAGATTAAGAGCTCTTCTCCAGATTCAGTTCTAGATTTTGTTCACAAAGCTTTAAAAAGGTTTGTGTAATCAATAGTGAAATTGGTACAATAGGACTCTTCTGGCCGCAGTACCGGCTGTTGGGCAATTTTCACGTCTATTTTTATAATTTTTTTTTTTAATACGGAAGAGGCTATAGAACTCTGTAAAATAGGTTCTATACTACTTTTTATTGCCGCAACAGGGCTTAGATACCTACTCTAAACCCAGAAGGGGTAACAATAGACCCGACGTTTGCAGACCCACATTCTAGAACAATAATAATAACATTTTGTGGAACTTTAACGAAAATATATAACATTTATTAAATATTTAAAAATATTTTTAAAAATTATTTATATAATTTAAAAATTTGTGTTTAACTTGTGTTTAAATTATATTTTTTAAAAATTAATTTTTTTCATAAAATGTTTTTTATTTTATTTTATATATTATATATTTTATTAAGAGACTTTTACATATCCCATGTCATTTCGTTGATTATTATCATCTCTTCTCAGAACACTCATATGCCATTCTGGTTTGTTTTACGTATTTACTGAAATGGCTGTCAGGTTTGGGATCTAAGTCCAATATATGCATTTTTGTTAAGAATGTTTTGTTACTGTTCGGTATCTGCACAATATATTGACTTAAAGTTGAACTGAAAGGTACAAGATCCGTAACATTAATAGTTATTAGAATAAAAATCATAAGAAAATATATTTATAAGGTATTGTTTTTCTTGTCAACAAACTAAACCAGAAGTTTAGTGGATGTGATTTTGTTTTTAATAAAATTAAACAATAAATCTTAAAAATGTTTTAAAAATTTTATTCTTGAATATTATCACGATAGAATTATTTCTTGATACACCGAAAATGGACCGGAAGCTTCATATATCGGCACTATTCTATTTTCTATGGTACGGTCATTCAGCAACGGATTTTTTTAAAGATAGCTTATTTGAATAATTTTTTTCGCTACAGTATTTAATAATTTGGTTAGTTCTTTAAGATTCGCAAAATTATTGTCAATTTTTATTTAGAAAGATTAAATAAATAAATCAATCAGAAAAAAAAAATTGTGATTAGTTTCCGAGATATCAGACTTCAAGTTTGAAATTATCTGCGTAAAAACTAACAATAACTACTAGACATTATCACATTCCATCTACGGAGGGGTGAAGGATTTTAACGAATGATATTACCGTAAAAACATTATTTCAAAAAATAACCACCGATTGTAGTAGGTTTAAACTTTCATTAATACTTGTTAAAACTTTTAACGATTTAAGTTTCCACAAGAAGTAATGTTGGGTGGTTGAGATATGGATTGGAAAGAGAATTAACTGTAGCAGATAAAATACCTAACGGAACATAGACTTGATTTGAATGTTGAAATAATCGACGCTATACCACGAACGAAAACTAGTACAACTATTAACAGAATAGTTAGTGGTTTAGGAGAAAAAGAATAACGAATGGTGCCATTTTGCTATAAACTAGAATAAAGATAATAGTATACGTGGCATTGGTTTCTTCTTGAATAAAACCATACACAAGGTATTATTAATTCGAAAAGAATTATATACCTATATGAAAATTCTATAGCTTTTTAAAGAACATATTGCTGAACGGTCTTTAGAATGAAATGGTTATAAATACCAATTATCATTTCAATTATCATAAGTTCTACTTGCGCGATTAAGTTCCTTAACTGGAATCTTGTAATACAAATATAAATTCATTTTCAGTACTTAAAAAAGCCTATCGGAGAAAGGTAAGGGAACGGCGAGCTGCTAATTAAAAAATGTAGTAACTTCGACTATAAAACCGCAGACTCAGTATTTCCATAGTTGCTATGTCTTAGAGTAGCTTGAGTATCACCGCCAGTCGGCACAGAAATATAGATTAACCATATCTGCAAAGTTTGCAGATTAATATTATCAATAATGTCTGGAAAAATTGCAGCGCTGAGCAGTTAGTTTGACATATTTTAACCTCCAATATTATTCATCATCCACATTACTGCAGTAGTTATAATAAAATTCTTAATACTAATAGCTTTGAGGCATGAGGTAAACCTCAAAAAGGTCAGAGTCAAGACTCTGACACGAACCTAAGATTGTTACCACAAATGTTAACTTAAACAATAATAATAGCGTATATTTATAGTCTCTCTAAAGAACTGACAAATTTAGTATACTTTACCTGATATGTCCTTCAATCTCCTGAAATGTTAGCATAATAGAACAATCCATTGCCATTGCTGCTAACAAATATTCCTCTTCAGGTCTTAAGTTTAGGAAGTTTACTATATGTTGTTTCTTCAGAAGCGTTCCTAATGCTGTATACGATTTTGTTGTGACTTCTAGAAAACCGTTTTCGTACATATATTTTAAATTTCGCTAAAAGTAATATTATATCCATATAGAAATATTTAAATTTTTTAATACAATATAGGATTTAGATTATCTCATAGCATGTTTCAAAAACGTACTAAAATAATACTTTAGTTCAAGGTTTAAATTCAATTTGTTTTTCTAAAACATATTCTAAGCCTTAAAGGCTGACTCATTAGTAGTTGCACTGACTCATTAGTAACAGATCCTCCCTATGCCTAGAGTATAAAGTACTCTTGTATAACAGTATCATAAACCCAATATAGACTTATGGTATCCAGCTATTCGGTAATGTTAGTGCTTCAAATATTGAAATTATCCAAAGAGCTTAGTAAAAAATATTGAGAATAATCACTGGAGCCCCATGGTATATTAGGAATGAAAGTATTTACCAAAAGTTACAAATTTACTTAGTTAAAGCCTAACTTGACAATACAAGACAAAAATACAATAAAAGGTTGTCAGAACATATCAACCACTTAGCTGGGAATTTCAATCCACTATTTCTCGCCTAAAAAGAGCTGATCGTCCATTCATTAATTAAAATTTAATAGGTTCAAGTAAACACACCTCTCTTATTTTTGGTAATCTCATAAAGTGTAATTGATTTCTAAATAATCCACATCATTCTGACCTCATCCAATGAAATTCAATCCACCAATCTGAGGTCCGTGATATAAGGTTTACTTATTTTATTTTATATTATGAAATATATAATTAAAATAAAAATTATAATATTATATTATTAGCGATAGATTGTAAGAGAAGATGCAATGAAGCAAATTCCTATTTAGGACGTGTGCGAGTTAGGTTAAGTTGCATTCTAAATGAGGGAAATTCTAAGTTGTGCCGATAATGTAGTGATGTGTCGATACGTGTTGATAAATGGTTTAATGTGTGCAGTGCAAAAAATACCAAAAAATCTCCCATTTGGTTTAGCATCAACTTAGTCTAACTCACACACACCCTTAGTACTATTTCATTTTTCAATTAATGCTATAAAAAATTGCTTTCGAAAATATTGAGGTCGTCTTAAACTTTTACACAATAATGCATATTTTTTTGCAATTTCCTGAAATTATTTTAAATTTCTTATAAAACTAAATATTATTTAAATAAAATAATTTAACAAAAATATTGTAATAATTTCCATTCATTCACTAAAAATAAATTTAAAGATTTTAAAAACCGGTAGTGGCGACACGGAAGAGTTATTACTCAAGATTGTGTAATTTTATGTGCTCATTACAGCATTTTTTCTGCTGATTTAAGTTATTTTCCAAAGATATATATTCGAAAAAAAAGTGCATCTTATCTTAAAAGAATATTTTCTCCAATATTTCATATGCATTATTTACGTTATTTGTAGTGCTCGTGCCTTGGCTTCTGCAGATTTTACTCCTTTGTTCTTGCTTATATTATTTTAAATTTTTTTCCATTTTTTTCTATCTTTTTCAATTTTTTATTTATTTTGTACAAAATTTTTATTTTGTTTTTGTGAATTTTTTTAATGGAATGTTGTAAAAAGCTTTACTTACCTTGGCCAACAGCTGTAAATGCAAAATTTTTTGCAAGATACAATTTTTTGGTAAGCACAACATTTCCGCTTCAGTGATTTGTGTTGAAGTCGCCTGCACTTCCGTTTCCGCTTTTGTTTCTATCATCAAAGCATTACTCGTTGCAGCTTGTGTTTGTGTTGCACTCGAATGCGGTTGACCTACGCCACCAGGAACGACAATGTTGGCACGGCTTTTAGCAACTTTGCCATTTTCATCAGAGTCTCTCAAGAGACATGTTACAATGAAATCTTTTAAAGCCGCCAATGTCATTTTACTAAATATTTTTATTTTCATTTTTATTTTTAGTTTGTTTTTGTTTTTTTTATTTTTATTTATTTTAAATGAAATTTAAGTATTTAAGAAAAAATGTAAATAAAATAAAAAATAATAATTTATTATGCTTTTAAAATAATTTTAACAATTTGGATGATTTTAATTAAATTAAAATCAAGGAAAATTGCAATTAAAATTAAAATATAAAAATATAAATTTTATTTTATTATTATCATTATTATTTTAATAAATAGAAATAAAATAAAATAAAACAAAACAAAATAAAATAAAAAAAGAAAAAAAACTTTAGTTACTTACCCCGTAAAAATTTGTTCAATTTGTTTCTCGAAGGATAACGATTTGTAGTGATCTCCATAAATTAAATTTCCATTTTGAAATATTCTTAAATTATTTTGAGGACACTCGAAGAGTGCATCTAATGCGGCCAACATTTTACCAGGAGCACTAAAGTTTGGCGTTTAACCCATTGTGGCACATAAAACAAAAAAAAAAAAAATAAAACGGAAATGTATATGCAGCATTCAATGAGTAAAACGTAAGTTCAAAGCAAATACAAAATTAAACAGAAGTGAAGAAACTGCAAAAGATCAAATTGAATTTTGTGCACGAATGCATCTCAAAGATAAAAAACTGCAACACGGAAAAATTCAAACATATGCAATGGACAAAAGTTTATACTTTCTTTCCGAGAGACTTTACTTTCCATTTATTTATTTTTTATATGGTACGTACTTTTTATTATTATTTCTTTTTTAATTTTAGGAAAGCGATGGAGTAGAACGTTTCCGAGTTTCGGAAAATAAAATTTCATAGCACATGCAAGCAGAACAAATTGAAATTTATGAGTCGAAAATTAATACGAATAAATTTTTAATTTGTTTTAAATGCTCGAAACTCAACATTCAACTGAACTATAGACACTTTTTCATATATGTTATAACATATAACATTTAGTAATAATTTTATATTTATTTAAGAAATGTGAAATTATTTAGATATATATCATATATATAATATATATACATATATATATATAACATATATAGGACGTGTGCGAGTTAGGCTAATTTGATGCTAAACCAAATGGGAGATTTTTTGGGATTTTTTGCACTGCATACATTTAGCCATTTATCAACACGCCATTTATCACTACATTATCGGCACAACTTAGAATTTTCCTCATTTACATAGAACGCAACTTAGCCTAACTCGCACACGTCCATATATAGGTGCCAGTACCAAACAGTACTAAAAAGCGGCAACCCAGGCAAAAGTCTATAAGTGAAGAACTGTCAGTGTATCACGAGAAAAGTGAGAGTATGTTACGAAGAATGGTTGCAGCTAATTTTACGTGAAGAATTCTAGAGCCGACCAACTTTATTATTTTAATTTATACGCTTTATACTTTAAATCAAATAAACATTAACAATCTTATATATATATACATATACATGAATAAATATGTATGAATAAATAAATAATTTACACATACAAAATACAAGATGTATATAATATTCGTAGAACTCTATTAGAATCCGTAAAAGAATACAGCACCAAAGATCACAAATATCGCTAGAGTATATATGTAACATTTCACGTGTTATATATGTAAATAATAAGAAGAAATTGTTTATAGCTTCCAAAATCTTTATTTAAACTTCTCAATCTAATTTACCGTCTTCTGTATATATATATATATATATATATATATATACATCTAACATTTCACGTGTTAAATATATATAATAAGAAGAAATTATTTATAGCTTCGAAAATCTTTATGTACCCTTCTCAATCTATTTAATCGTCTTTAAAGTACTCCTCTATTAACTCTCCTATAATACAATTACGTCAAGTTTTATCGAATCCTGAAAGCAATTCTTAAAATTGATTTTCAGAACGATCTTAAGGATTAAGGCGCATAGCAATTAGATTTTAATTTCGTCTATCATTTCGAAATAGATTACCCGGAGTGATCTCTTGAACTTAAGGAAAAGTCAAAAGTTACACGGGGTATGATGGTTGTGGAATGAAACGAATGATCGCAAAGATCTGATGTAGTTCGAGATGGTCCGGGGTGCAAGAACCAATCTATTCAGATACAAAAAATCTCTTAGAATGGTATGAACTAATCGAAATAAAATACTAATAAATGTGCAAAGTTTTTAACTGTCAAATGATATTTTTTGAGCACCAAAACTTCGATTTCTTTAATGTTAAATTAACTGGGTGAATTTGTAAAATCGTCACTAAAATGTTATATATTGGGGCTAACTTACGAGTAGTTTACGGGATTTTTTTTTGCTTTAAGAAATGATAATAATTCTATTACTTTCTATCATTTGTGAGGAACCCTAAAAAAACTTAAAGGACCTAACATATTTAGTATATGATTGCTGGGATACAACATGTATTAATTACATATATTAATGGATGAAACTATAAAATTTCCAGGAATATTTTATAAAGATATTCTCATAAAAATTTATTTAAATTATATGTATTCTTTTTATTAAAGATAATAGATGAGCCCTAATAAACATGGCGAAGAGAGAAATCATCTTAAATTTAAAATGTGGCAGTGAAAGTTTTCCCGAGGTTAACGAAACATATTATAATTGTACAAAATTAAGACCTGTAAAAGTCTACATTATTACTAATTATCGCTTAAAAGAATACTTTGATGATGTTAAGGGCTATTTTTATTGCTAACGGCAATGTTATAATACCTCAATTACTTTATTCCCCACTTCTGTTAGAAAATTCATTTGAAAAGATGTCGTCAGGATCAGGATAAGAATAACCGTTCATAAAGCATCTTTACATAGATTATATTTCAAAACACGATTATAAAAATATTACTATAAGAGAAGATATGATGTACTTCGATCGTACTTATATTCTTAGTAAATGCTTATGTAAATGGTTAATAAACTGAATTTTTTTATGTATAGTTTAAGCGTCAAAACTTGGTCATGTATAACTACAGGGACCCTTTTATTCCAATTCATATTATGTTTTTGAATATTAACTACTCTAATCTGTTATTTTCATTAACAAAATATACATCTGTGTCATCATAACTTAAAGTAAATAACTTCTGAAATTCATAGTAAACAATCCAGAGTACTAATGAAATCAAACTATGGCGTCCAAAAGGAAAGAGGAAGCTCATATTGAGAATAATTGAAACTTACCCGGAGAAGAGTTCCATTGGGCAATAGGAGCTGCGTTCCGAAACTTTTTGTTGTTGTAGCTGAAAATGTAAATCAAATGTGAGTAAAGAAAGTGAAAAGAAGAAGAAGAAGAAAATGTGAAAATTGTATTTGCGGTATTATGGGTACTGGGTACTACCACGTATTTGCATAGAAAATAAATCGTCCTGCAATTATTCACTGAAGCACAACTTACAGAAGCGCAAGTAAATATTGTTGCACGTATGGCTGCGTACATATAGATCTATAAGGTATATATATGCATATATGTGTGTACATATCAAATGAAAAGTGCCGTGTGAGTGAACCCATAATAGCGTAAATCTCCGTATTACCTTTAAAAATTGCATCGCACAGTAGCGGCACCTGGTGTCGTTTGCGTTTGAGATTTTTGTTGTTTCACTTGTACTCTGCGATATTTCCGCTGCTCGAACTGAAGCTTTATGCGATGCGGTTATTGTTGCAGACACTTCAGCTTCTTTAGCTCTTTCACTACTTGCCACTTTCGTTTTAAATAAATTGTTGACATCACTCGGAAGCAACCAACCTTGTTTCGGTTTAATTTCAATGGCGTATGTGTCTCCAGTTAATGCTGCTCTTGGCTGCACGTTGAAGTTTTTGTTCGAAAATATGTAAAATTCCATGGAAATAAAAAAAAAGCAGGAAAATAATCACAATAACTATTTTGCATGAGCTTACGAAATTTAATAAATGTGAGGTAAAATGGATTTGGTAACAAACAATAAAGTGATATATGGTAAAGTATTTCGGTTCATTTGCATTCAAGCACCAAATTGGCCATTTGGCAGAAGTATTTCATAAAAATAAACTGGTGATATTAAGAAGAGAAGTTAACATAACTCCTCTCTCACTATTAATTTATTCACTTATAATTTTTGTTATTAACTTCAATTTAAAATAATTATAAATTAAAAATGAACAAATAAATGTGGCTATGATAACATATTAAAACAATTGTCTAATGTCTAATGTTGAGGCTTATCCGAGCTAGTGCATCTGGACACTTTTACTGTTTGATAGCCGGGGGGTTTCTGCAGAGTCCCATCCACCTCATTTTACTTAATTTTTAATAATCATTAAAAATAATAATAATAAAAATAATAAAACAATTATTATAATTTATTTATTCTATGTTTACATTGTAAGATGCACAGAATATTAACAATCAACAAGATTAAAGCAATCAACGAGATTAAAGCAATCATCGGGACTAGAGCAATCATTGCGATTAGAACAATCATCGAGATTAAAGCTTTAATCATGTTGTTAAATTGAAGATTTACGCAACTGAACTGGTTTTGTTTGGTCAAGATTAACTAAGTCAATCAATCACCAAGCTGTCAAAAGTTTTATTTTTTGGTACAAAATCTCACTCTTCTAACGCCATCTAGCGTAAACCGATCGGAGTAATGGATTTCTTTATACTAATATATAGTAACCGTAAAAGTCACAAATATAAATTTAATATATTTTTATTCAGTTAAGTGATATTTTTGTAAAAAACTTCAAGTTTTTTGGAGATTTTCTTGCTATAATATATAATAGAAGTATTCACGATCTCATGTAACAAGTCCAGTAACAGAGTTACACCTCAAATTGATAATTATAAAGTAAAGATCGAGTGCTTGTATTTCGCTGTTGTCACTTTTCCGCGAGATTACCGACATCGTTACACAAGATTATGAACCTAATATCAATCATCAAGGTGCACTATTATAATTATTTGCAAAAAGCTAACCATACGTCTGAAGAAGTCAAAACTTCTATAGCTGTCATTTAAAACTTGTCAGATATACAAAATATAATTGATTTTGTTCTGGCGTTGCCACATGTTGTGACGTCAGATAATTATCAATCCACCTAATATTTTATGAATATGTGGTGCTAACACTACCAACCAGTGCTTAAGAAATGCTGATCTAGAACAAATATAAGCAACAAGACTATATTTATTTTTTTATATATATGAAAATGCTGATCTACATAGATAAAACTCTAAAGTATAAACTACATATATTATTTTTTTATATAAAATATATTAATTATTGTTTTTAATAATTTATTGATGTAATGGCCAAAACTTTTTAATAATTAAATTGTTCTTAAAAAGGGCTGATTGGTCACTTTTTATTATAATAATACACTTTTTTAAAAAATGTCGTGTTTAAAAAATTCCTTATATAAACCAATATTTTGAAGTTCAAAAACTACCTCGATCACTTTTTTGTCAGCAAAGACCAAAAATTTTATGAGCGTGAATTATGCTACCTACCAGAAAGATGACAAAAGGTGTTGCAACAGAACGGCCAATATATAATAATAAAGTATTTAGTAACGTATTTAATATTATTATTATTATTGTTAGGGTATGTAGCACTGCGACCGTCGGGTCTATTGTGCCCCCTTCTGGGCTTAGAGTAGGTCTATAAGCCCTGTTGCGTCAATAAAAAGTAGTATAGAACCTACTTTACAGAGTTTTATTGCCTCTTCCGTAAGAATATACATTCCTAGGAGCCTATTTCGTATATGCATTAGCGCAGGGCATTCTAACAGCACATGTGCGGCCGACTTCTGATTCTCTTCACAGAATCTACAGTTTGCATCCGTAAGTATACCCAGTATTGTAAGGTGGTGTTTTAGAACGTATTTAATAAGTATTTAATAAAGTATTTGTTTATTATACGAAAACTGTCTTTCAAAAAAAAATTAGCATTACGTTCCTAGATTAGGTTCTATACATAAGAAAGAACAAATCATACAACAAATAATGACTCTACGAACAGAATAGTATTGAAATTTAACAATTGAAAATAAAATTATAATTAATTAATTAATTCAATTATTCTACAGCTGGTTTATTATTTCATTGTAAAATAAAACACAGCAAGTAAAATTATTAATAAAAACTTTCATAGTAATAGTAACAAAACTCTAGAAAAATATGCGAACAAAAAAGTCAAGTACGGCTTTGGATCAGTTGGTTAAGGTGCGCTGATTCTGAGCTTCACATTTGGCAGGACCCGAGTTCGATTCCTGGTACTTGCAGTCTCAAAAAATAATTATTTACGAATAATTAAATACAAGAATTATTTCCAAGACCACTGATGATGGGTATTTGGCAATACTCGAAACAGCTGTATGGTCAGCCAAAAATTCAATTAATTAAAATAATATAAAAAATAAATTTTTGTTGTTGTATTACACTACTGCTCGAAAGAACCTCTTTTAAAAAAAAAAATTATAAAAAATTCTCTAACTTGAAGTCTCCAGAAGTCGAAACTTTTCTTTGCAAAATTGGACTTCGAGTTATGGAAATTTGACTGTATTTTGTTAAATTAATTTAATTATGTAAAATTATTTTGTATCATTATATCATTTATAAAACATATTTTTTTAATATCTAAAAATAAAGTAAAAAAATTTAATTTGCAGAATTTATCTTTTTTTTTGTTCCTTTTTGTGTACTCGACTTATACATAACACAAATTGGTTAATTTACAATTTTTAATTAAGTCGTTCACATATTTTCATGAAACTGTAACTCTGCTTTTCCTACTGCCTTACATTCGGGTATGATTTATGCCCTGAACTAAATTTGTCTAAAGTGCAAATCCAAAATATTAGTTACAATTGAGCACAATAACACATTTTTTCCAAAGTGCAAAGCACATAATATCTCCAAATATTTATGATTTTCGTAGCTATATTTTTGCTCGGAGAACAATTTCATATAAATTGAATACAATGTATGTATACAAGTATTTTCGTTCACTTTAATTTAAACCAAAAAAATCAAAAAAGAAAAAAAAACCAAAAAAAAAAATCCTTTTGATTTATTACCTCTGAGCACAGAGAGTGACCATATGTTGGTAGTACAAGTACTGGATAAGTACGAATCTTGTAAAAAATGTCCTTGGAAATCACAAAAAATGCTATATATTTTGTATACAATATCAGAACATTACACATACACAACTATAGACAAACATATACACAAACAATAGAGTGAGCTCATATTTCTAAAAATGGATTTTTTAGTTAAACTCACCTGTAAATTGGAAACTAAAATGTCGAACGCTGCCGGTAACTGGGTAACATCTGGTAGCAGAAGTCCAAATTGCCCACAAAATTCTTTATCCAGTCGATGTGCTGCAAGCCATGTTAGAAAGTGGTAAGTCGGTATTGTGTACATATAGAAAAAATATAGTATAACATAACAGAAAAGAAAGGACGAAGGACGAAGAACGAAAGACTAAACAAATAAGAATAATTTACACTTAACTGAAATATTGCAATGTTGCTGTTGGTGGTGTATAGTTGCTGTTGCTGTTGCTATTGCTGTTGCTGTTGTTAGTGCATTTTTATATTCAATATTTGCTAACAATGCAACAGCATAAAAAAACAAAAAAAAAAAAAATAACAGTTAAAAAAGAGTAACAACACCATTGCCGGCAACTGCAAATTAAAGCAACACATGCCATAGGAAAAATGAGTTTCCATAACGCAGGCCATCTTGTTGAACTTATGGTCGTGCTAAGACTTCGAGCTCTGCCAGTGAAATGCTTAATAAGTCCCTAGAGAGACTGGGAAGTATAAAAAGTACGTAAAAGTAAGCTCAAAAAATAAATAAACAATGCTGTCAGCTTGAATGGCATGTGCCAAGCGGCAAGAAGCTTTAGCCTCAAAACGCATAAAATATTTTCAAGAAATTTTATGATCGATTTCATGTCATATAAAAAGAAGTATTATAAAAAAAAATATGGAATTTATTGGATGCTCGATGCTGTATTGTAAGAAGTACTTGAATTTATGTTTACAAAGAAAGCAGGATATAATTGGATTCATATGCGCTTGATGAAGAAAAAGAACCATTTTCCTCAACTAGAAGGAAGTGAAATAATTGGTGATGAGGCAGAAAAGAATGGGGAAGAAAAAACAATTACCAGTTTTCATTCCAGGATTGTAAGAGAGATTATCATATATGATTAGATTGATTTTTAACAACCATATTGACAAAAGAAACTTAATTCTTAATTTAAACTATTATTTTTATTTGAGAGGTGTTTTGAACAGTAATGAATTACAACAACAAAAATTTTCATTATTTTGAGTGGTACTAAATACTTATTATCAGTGGTGTTAGAGTTATTTTTTGTATTTAATTATTCGTAAATATCTTTTCAGGTGGCAAGTATCAAGAGTTGAAGCTCAGATTCAGCGTTCATTAGTCAGTTGATACAAAGCCGTACTTGACTTGTAAGTTCGACCTAGGAGTTTTGTTAATTTGCTTGGAAGAAAAGTTCATTAACAAATTCAGTGACTGTATTATATTAGAATGAAATCTTAAGCCAACAGCTGGTTTTTTAATTAATCATATTTTTATTTCTTAAATTTCAATACTATTTTTTTGTATATTCATAATTTATTGTATGATTTTATTACTCTTTCTTTGTATATAGAACCTAATCTAGAAACCTAATGCGGAGAAAGTCATGCTAAAGTTACTCCACGATTCGTTCAGAAAAGATTGAAAAGTTGAATGAGTATTTTTATTCATATTTTAACAGTAGTTCCAGAACAATTCTATATAAGATTGGTTTTTAACGTCCGTTTTATAAAAAACTTGATATGATTAATATCATATGACATTAATATGACTAGTTTATAAAATATATTTTAAAGATATATGAAAGAGATTATGGTTGTATAAAATTAAAAAAATTATAAAAATATAATTATAATCTAAGACACGGAGAGTCTTAGAGAATTAACACACATAATAAATAGTTTTTTATATGCGACGCTAAGCTATATAATATCGCTAAAAATCTCAAAACCTACTAACCACTAGTGCTAACTATTGAATTAAAAAAATCACTGAAAGATTAAAGTAGTGAATAGATTAAAACAATAAATCAGCTGCAACAGATTAACTGCTTCTCATATTGATAAAACTAATATAGGTATATATAAAAGTTATTTTGCATATATGTCAATGTCAATGTGGAGGTCGTGGTATTAGAAAAAGCAGCTATTCGTAAAAAACAGCGATCGAGGTGAGGCCCATTGACACCGCACCTTTCACTTCAGAATTATTGAAGTAAACGTCAAAAATGTCACAACAAAGATAAAGAAAACTGGATCGCCATAGATATATTCATTGCGATCATATTCAAACGGATTAAATATAGTCGCGAATAACCAACACTGGGACCCTACCTTGAAGTATTTAGGTACTACAGTTCATAAGCTCGTTCTAATTGAAGCACGTTAAGTGGTTTAGTTAGTGTTACTTAAAAAATTAAAAGTGACAAAAAACTTGGAACTTGATATTTGAAAGTTTGTGCAAACTTGACTACTTGTGGAAAAACACGATTAGTTATACTTTCTAATTTGACAGACATAAGTTCCAAGTCTGGCACTTACTGTCCAAACAAATTATATATAAACTATAAAAATCTAATTAAAAAATTCAAATATTTCTTAAGACCATTGATGATGAGTATTTGGCAACGCTCGAAACAGCGCTGTATGGTCAGCCGAATTTCAATAAATTAACTGAAATATTTGTTGTTGTCTTTTCGTTTCTATTCGAACCATTCTAACTTTTAAATAGTTTCTTTTCGTCATAAGATGCGTTATTTAGTATTTATTTATTTATTTACTATTTATATTTATATATACATATATATTAATTTTTACTTGTATATTAATGGTTAGCCATGATGATATTTTAACATTTTGTAGGGCAGTGGTGCTTGGAGGAAATTAACAAAAGATCTGAATTTTCATCTTGTAGTTTAACTATTTGCAAGAGGACTAACAACAACGATATGAGTAGTGATGTAGTATGGAATTGTATTATTCATCAATAAACTAAAAATTCCAACATAAATATAAACGTATAAAGAGAGATTTCATTTATAAATAGCTCGATTTTTTTTACTATGGTATCTGGTAATTTTACCGGAATATGATTTTCTAATTTTATTGAAAATCATATTTAACTACCGTAAATAAATTTTTCTGTACCTGCAAGTTAAATATGGAAAATATTTTATATTTGCCTACCTGGTCTGGCGGCACGTACATGTTCATTTATCCATTTTCTATCTGCTTCCTTTGGTATTTGTATAACTTCCGCTTCAAATATAAACTCATTACCCAATAGACGTCGAATTATCTCAATGAAATCCACAAATTCTTTCATTGTCAAGTTTTCAACTGAAATTACAAATGTTTTAGGAAAACAAAACCATTCAAAATAGTGAAATTGAAGAGCATAAATGTGAAAGCGAACAGCACAAACTGTAAAAATACCAAACAGCAACTAATAAATTATTGCAACAATCCGAAATAAATGAAATAAAATATATTTCAACATCATTTCGAGCCAAAGTTGCAACATTTGAATTGGCAAAACAGTTTCTGCTTCCCACTACCACCTCTGTGCCGTCCAACTGATTGCAGCAGCTCATAAGCCAATGGAACCGCATCGTTTCCCGCCACAATAACTAACCTTTTGTGTTTTGCTGCCTAACCAAGTCGGAAACACTTTCCAGAGTCTGTTGCTGCTGCCGTTTTTGTTGTAGAGATTTTTTAACATGGAATTGTTGTTGTGTTTGGCCGTTCATCGGCAACATTTTTGGCAAACGTAAAACTTTTTTGAACTGCGGCAATGCAAGCACCAAATTTGCATTACCCTCTGCGCGATAGTGCAACTCAATTTGGCACAATTCCATATGCTCTGATATAGCTAAGCATTCATTCAGTGTTCTAGGTGTGGATGAAGTTAGCAAATGGCCAGCAACCTTACTGTAGGTGCTGTCAGACGGCATGTCTAACTTGGATTCTTGGCTGCTGTCAGTTCTGCAAGTTGAGCCAGTGCTCGTTGGGCTACTGCTATCAGCCAAGTTTGTTTTGCTGCTCATGGTCGGTGTCACTGTTGATTTTGCTGAAGTTGCTCCAATATTTTTGTTGCTGATAATGCTCTGCATAAGCAGTTGATACATCAAAGCCGTAAGCTGTGTGCCTATGCCTGTGCCTGGTCCTGGTCCTTTGTGTCCAATGTTCTGAACCTAAACATAAAAATAATTGTATTGCATTTCGTTGTGTTCAAAAACTTTGGATTTTGTGGGCAGTCGAAGCAGAGTTTATCTTACAGATAAGCAGATTAGTCGGATACAGTGTGTAACAAATTTTGTTATGAATGTTTTACTAGATAATATGGAAAAGTTTTCTGCTTCAGCTGCAGTTGGAATTTTCCAAACAGTTATGAACAATTTCGATTTAGATTTATATAAACTTATTCGTACAATTAATTTGAAATATTTAAAGGATAAAATGATTTTTATATTTAGTTTATATTTAGTTAATAAAACCATAGAAGTTTAGATTGCAAGTTAGAAGCCATATTATTGTAAGCTTGCTTATAAAGTCAAGTAAAGTTTTTAACTTAAAAACAATTTTACAACGTATTAAAATATATACCATAATTGGTTTTAGACAATTAGAAGAAGTGTAGTATTAAAAGTAAATAAATATTTCAGTTCGACTAAAGACAAAATTGAAAACATAAAAAAATTATTTACAACAATATTTTCACTCAACAATAAAAATTTTGCTTACCTATATCTTTAAGTTAGATTGGAGTGGTGGCCTTATGCTCAAAAAATGGTCCCTTGTAGTACCACATGATTAGCGTTAGTACATAAGCAGACTAGCGGTCAATGTATGAGCAACGCAGAAAGCCGCGACTCCCCTATTAAGTAAAAATGAACTAACCTGACAATTCTATAAACGTGTATAAACTAATTCCCTAATTTTTCAGGATGACAGTTTGGCGTTAGTATATAAGCAGACTGGACATCAGCGAATGAACAACGCAAAATGTACGATTACGATTCCTCCATTAGGTAGAGATGAACCAATCTCATAAGTCTATACATATGTTTAAAACCCTAACTATGCAGGATCACAGTTCTGTCAGGTCGGTAAGAAAAGGAGCCATGTAGATTTAAAAACTTTTCGTAGCTAATGATGGACATTAAGAGTCATAAGGTGGAGTACAGTTTCCTTCTTATCTGCAGAGCCATAATCTCGACAAAAATTATTTTAGAGTAGACTCCGATTTATAGTATGTCTTGTTACGAATATTACGCAGTGGCCCGTCTGCAGGTTACATTTTATTTAATGCAGCTGACTGAAGTGATTTTGGTGCAGTATAGATTTGCATCTTTCTTTCATTATAGCATCGACAAGTATATATGAAGTAAATAGCAAACCATTACATTAAATCGAAAATCTAGTTTAAAATTTGAAAGTGTGCAAAATTGCCTACACCTAAATGCACCCATGCCCATTTAGTAGAATAAATGTGAATGATTGCTTTGCATTACTTCATATATTCAATTTTTATTAAATTGATTTTTTATTATTAAAATATTACTTCGAACACTATTTTAGATAAAGGGAATCACCGTCCAATAAACCCTCACTCCCGATGGCAATGTTGCTCGATCGTGCTACCAAAATCGAGGACCTTTCAGAGAGCAGTAACTTGGAGTTAATAGAAATGTTGTCTAATATTTGATATATAAATGAACATTAATTAATTTTATTTCAATATACATAAAGTTTTAAATATTTTGAGGTGCTCTCCACCGAAGCGATCATAGAGGATAGAGTCCACACAGGTAATACTAGCTTTTGTAGTCTTAAAAAATTCTTATGATCAAAATTTATATTTAAAAAGATCAATGGTAGACTAGGTAAGACTGTGAAAGGTAACATCCTACATTCAAGAGGCAGTTCTTCCGATAGATAACAGGGCACTTCAAGGGCAAGGTATTGTCAGAAGGCACTTTAATCATAATTTAGTTTGATTTAAGGATCCAGACATAGTGAAGCATTTTACATAAAAATTATGGCTAGGATGAAACATAATATAGCGATTAAGATCGGAGGGATTAAAAATGACTGCGCTAATGCAGGTACACAACACAAGAACGGTAGCAAAATATAAAGATAAATTTGATATAAATGAAAGATGTAAATCTGATACTACGTTTTTTTTTTTGTCAAAAACTAGCTACTGAATATTCGATAAAATAACCTAAAAAAAAAGATTCAGAAGTATTTTCACTATAAGTGATAAAAAACACTTTCCATATAACAATGTTTCAAAACAGAGAAAACACTCGTTGCATTTATGAAAGATATATGTTGTCTGAACATAGATAATATTTATAATAGTTTCTTTCAAGCCGCTGAAATTCAGGTACATTCATATTTGAAATGGTGCAAATGAGAAAGAGTTCAGTTCTACTTCACATACTGAAAAATACTGACGGAACCATGAACAGGTAAGAGTTCTTGAATCTGCTTTGCAGTTCTTAAAACATATATCAAAAATACATAGACAGAACCATGAAGAGAAAAGAGTACTTGAATCTGCTTTGCAGTTCTTAAAACATATATAAAAAATACATAGACAGAACCATGAACAGGAAAGACTACAGTGACAATATCAGCACCAGTAGTTATAATAATGCTCCGCTCTGAAGAAGAAGTCAAACAAATTTCGCAACATCGGCGATAGTTATATAGAATATTATATAGTAATAAAACTAAAAACTAATTTAAAGCTTTTATTTTATTTTTTTTTCAATATATTAATTATAAAAGAAAAATAATTTTAATCTTAAATTTAATATCTAATCTTAATCTTAATAATTTTAAGCCTAATAATCTTAAAGTCTTTTAGAATATATTTTGTTTTTAATATTCAGTTCAAATATTATTAAACTAAACTCATAAGCCATATGCTTCCATATATATCTCATACATTAATTTTAACACATTATTTTTAATACAGTGGCTATCGTTAGAGCCCTCCAGCATTTAAAAGTGAATAAATGTTTTGTGTCTCGTACCATCGCTCGTTACCATGATACTGGTAGCGTAGCCCGACGTCAAGGAAGTGGACGAAAAAAAACAGCAACATCGGCAGAAATGGTTCGAAAAGTGAAAAAGCGAATTGAACGAAATCCGCGTCGCAGTGGACGAAAAATGGCTCGTGAGCTGAACATATCGCAATATGCCATTCGGCAAATATTGAAAAATGAGCTTGGACTAAAGCCATTCAAGTTCCAAAAAGTGCAAGATCTTACTGATGCGCAAAAAAAAGTTAGACTCGAAAAAGCTAAAGAGTTGTTTCGCTTGGCCGAAAGTGGTGAACTGCCGAATTTGGTTTTCTCCGATGAGAAACCATTCGTTATCCAGCAGTTTGTAAACAAACAAAATGATCGTGTTTACTTGCCAGAGAGGTCAGCTGAAAATTTGCAACTTCGGTTGGCCATCACAACTCAAAAGCCGGCCATGGTGATGGTGTGGGCCGCCATAACAGCCGATGGTCGCTCGCCGCTCGTATTCATCGACCGTGGTGTCAAATTAAATGCGCAAATCTATCGCGAAAATATTTTGGAGGGAGTTCTGAAGCCCTGGGCACGCAAACATTTCGGCCGCAGACCTTGGACATTCCAACAGGACTCAGCACCATCGCACTCAGCACGCGCCATCCAAGAATGGTTAAGAAATGAGGTTCCTCGCTTCATTTCCACCGCACAATGGCCACCAAAATCTCCGGATGCCAATCCGTTGGACTATTGTGCCTGGGGTATTTTGGAAAGCAAGGTTGGAACTAAAAAATACCAAAGTGTCGATCATCTCAAGCAAGCGCTTCGCCGAGAATGGGACAAAATACCGCAGAGCCACTTTCGGGCAGCGTGTGATGGTTTCATTGGCCGTTTGAAGGCCATAGTTCGTGCCAAAGGTGGCCAATTCGAACAAATCTAAACCGATTCTCAAATTTGATGTTATTTCCGACATTTTTTGCTTTCATTCAATAAAATTTAAAAAAAATGAAAAAATTATGGCGTTTTACTTTGTTTGAGTTTTTTCATCTCACCTTGTAAATTATTAATACTGAAGATATGACAATAAATATTTCAATTTAAAAATAAATTTGTTTATTTGACTTCAAATGAAAGCTTATTTAAAAAGTACATTTTATAATTTTAAAATTAGGAACTAATACCGTTTCCGATTGGTAAATCTGGTAACTTTTTCAATCGAGATTTGTGAATCTCGAAATGTATATCCGTAACACTCGAGTTTATTTTTTAAAACACTCTAGATATTTTGTAAGAGTAGCAAGATTACCCTGAAATGAAAAGCTATGTTATATGACTTGACAGATAAAATGTGATTTAATGCGTTTACTAATAAAGCCAAAAAATGTTAGATTACTCTAAACAAGTGTGATTTTGTCACAAAATTTTGTCACAAATCGAGAGTAAATCTAGATTGAGTCCAGATTTACCAAAAGAAAACGCGATCAGACTAAACATGCACTTTCCCCTTGAAATACTCCACTAAAAAAGCAAGCCAACTAATTGAAATCCCAACACCGTAAATGATAAATGCAATCTTATAGTAACTTATTTTTAAAGGTTCTATTGGATAGCTGTCTATAATGACGCTTGCATATTTTCCACGTCGAGCAATAAGAAAGGCATCCCATTCCCATTTCTGCCAAAGTCCTGCTTCCTTAACTTTCAACGCAAATAGGTTCAATGAGTGAACAAAACTTGAGTTTAAGCTTACTGGATACGATTTGAAGCACACTCCAAAACACAATGGGGTCAGATGAAAATATGGCTTTTTTAAAGTCATTTGTTGCATATTCACAAATTTCCATTTATCCTGTAGAAGCACATAAGCCACGGAACGATTTAAATATTCCAATCTAATCTTAAAAACACGCCTTGTAAGAAGCTTAGCCAATGGTTGTAAATCTTTTTGATGCTTATAATCATCAACATCATTATTATATTCTGGTGGAAGTAAGATTTCTGTATTACTTTGAAGTAATTCCTCTACGGTATTAATTGGAGTTGTAAAAATGGGTTTCATATTATAAGCCGTGATATATGGAAAATAGTAAGCATTTAGTATAAAACCAAGCAAGAAAAGTAGCATGTAAAAAACGATAATCCTTACAGAGATATTTTTGATACGTTTACTCATATTCGAGGAATGCAATAATATTGCTAAACCACGCGGCAAGTTACGTGCAACATCATTAGTGACTGCAAGTCTCGGATACTCTATAAAACTCATCAGAGCAGCTATATAAAAAATGCTTAAGAAACAAACAAGCCAAATGTAACGATCAAAAGGCCATACTATATACCAAAATTTGGGAAGTTCATCTTCCAAAGGTACCATTATGCATCTCTTCGATATTTCAACCGGATAGCTGTATTGCACAATATTGCTTGGTCTTGTGTACGATACTCCATGCAAAGATAGATCATACTCTCCGATTTCAATTTTTGATAATATGCTTGATATATTAAAAATATCCTTGTTGATTAGTTCCAATTGATAATTATGATACCTGGCGAAATGTAGAATTGTCTGCAGATACGGTCCAAAATATTGAGTTTCTTCAGTTCTTGCGTCTTTGTAACTGAAGGCGCGTGGTAAATCTTCACCAAAAGGTGTACGTAAAATCCTTAAACTATTTTCCATTTCTTGTTCAATATATAAAGCAACTGCATTCTAACCTTGATGGAAAGGTTTTTCTATCTTAATGTCTTCGAATACAACACAAGACTGGCGGTTTATAACTTATAAGTTTTATATTAAAAGCATAAAAACCATTACAGGCATGACAAAAAGAGATTATTTCTATTGAAATTGAAGTGGTTTTTCGAAAGGTTTTATACATTCGAAAAGTTTTGGAGTGAATAATGTAAAATCAATGTTTTATTCCAGAGGCGGATGTGTTGAACCTTAAAAAAGGTTAACGTTTTATAAAATTTCATCAAATTACCAAAAGTTATGGGTTTTGCAAAATATTCCCCTTGTAAACTTTTTCCAATTTCGTCCCTGTAGTTTTGGAGGGTATTATTAACAAGCTCCGCTATTTGCTGATTACAGTGTGATATTTTTTATTGCATGCCATTTTACATTTGCTTTAGGTTAGTTATAAGTACAGTATAAATATTGTATATATTATATTTAAATAAAAACTAAATTGCAAATGGTTCTTTCAACATTAACACAATGTTGATAAAAAAATTCATAATGAGAGCAATTAACTATCAAAATATTTAAATAAATTGTACACACCACACATATCGCATTATCTAATAATGTAATACATGTGGTATAATAATAATTATTAACGTGAGTTTTTACCCAAGAACAGTCCGAACTGTAGGAACTGATTTTAATTACTGCGATTCCTACCTATTTGCAAGACTCAAGAAGTCACTCTGAGGAAAGCATTTTAGCAGCGAAAAGTATTCAATAAAAATAATGAAAGATGGATCGAATAGCTACACAAAAATCCGATAATCAAAATTGTTTCGACGATTGGATCAAGTGCTGGTATAAGTGCATTTCGATCGATGGAGAGTACTCTTAGGAGGACAATTTCTGTTATTAAGAATTAACTTGCATTTTCACGTATCTGAATTAATTCTTGAATCTTTTTAAATAAGATGTTATTCATGTAACTTGAATATATCCACAACTACTGGAATAGACTAGCTATATCTGACACCAACTATAGATGAAAGACTTCAGCTCTACATACAGATGTAATGTTGTTTTCGAAATCGTATCATTTTACCAATTCAATTTTCAAAAACCTTCATTTATCATTACTTAAGAAAAAGAACGACTGTCATGGTCAGCCAAGAGTTTTCTGTGGCAACTTCGATCAGTGAATTTATTTGTGCTTACAGCATAAAAATCCATATATTTCTGATATTTTTTTAAACCACATTATATCGTATATCTGTTCAATTGTTATAATTTATTCACAATTCCATATTGGAATGATTTGTGGTTATATTTTTCTATTTGGTGCTCCTTCTACATATTATCAGACCATCAAATATAAAAGAAATGTCCATTTAACACTAGTGAAAAGAAAAGATAATGGATTGTAGTGGAAAAATTTTTGTAAGTTGGTACGGATTAATCTCAATCCCTCACTATCATATCTACACTATGTCTTATAAACATTTTTTTTACTTGATAATAAACTCTTCCATTTATTTACATTCTAAACGATGGTAATCGTAGACCGCCTTTTGGTTATTTTTCAATAAATGTGGAGTAGGATATAAACGGGCTAAAGAAATAAAAAAATATCAATATTTATATAAAGAATATTATTTCTAAAGGTTCAAAATTTTAAATTAAAAAGTAAAATTAATTTAATTAAAAATTAAAAAAGTAAACAACAGGTGGCATATGAATGACTGATATAGGAGGATCTGAGAAACTCCTGCAGAAGATTAAATTTTGACAACTTTTTCAATCACTTGAGGCCATACCCAATGGCTAAAGCATAGACAAAAATGATATTAAATGATAACAAATTAAACGATTTTAATGATCAGTCAACAGGCAGTCATATTTTAAAAGATTACATTTTTACCAATATCTTTCTTTGATAAGTTGATAGAATAGCATGTGGTAACACGCTATATTGTAATTTTAGGGTATAAAAATAGTTCGACATGGATCGATATCGGATGCCATTGACAATTACACTTATATTTTCCTTATTTTTGAAGACATATAATCTGAATCACCAGCTCATAGAGCATAGTAACCAATGCATTTCCTATGCTGGGTCGCCATTTGATAAATAACTATTTAATTTTCCTTGCACTGAATATGGCCATTTTGTTTGTTGATGAAGTCACTGATGTTAAAGTTAACCGAAACTATAAAATTTTGAACCAGATTTAAAATTGGAATTAATATTTCACTTTAACTGAGTAAAGTTAGCTAGTGTATCTTTGATAATGATTTGTTGACGGATTTTATGTACTGATTTCCTATCAGCTTTCTTAATAAACGATGAGCTTTCTGAATTTAAAATAATAATAATAATAGTAATAAATAATAATAGTAATAGTAATAATAATACTGGTGCTACTATTCCAAAAAATATGGAGAGATGAAGAAATATCTAACGACTGGCAAAAGGCGATAATTGTAAAAAAACTAGAAAAAGGCGATGGAAGAAAGTGCGCAAATTGGCGCGGAATATCAATTTTTACAGCGATTTCAAAAATCTTTACTCAAATCCTTTTAAAGCGAATCTTTGCACAATTAAATAAATTCATACGACCAAATCAGGCTGGTTTTAGACCCGGTCACTCTTGCTGCGATAACATCAATATAGTAAGAGTCCTAATAGAGCAGTCAGTTGAGTATAACTCCCCCCTTTACGAGGCAAAAACATTTGATGTATTAAAGCGCGAGATTATTTGGTCTGCCCATTCCGCTAGAGGTATTCTTGATAAAACAACCAACATTATTAAAAATATGTTCGACGGAACATGTTGCTGAGTACTAAATTAATACCAATTAAGCGATCTTTTCTGATCGTATCAGGAGTCAAACAAGGAAGCGTACACTCTCCGTTGCTCTTTCTAATAAAATTGTTAGTCTTTGTGGCTTACAATAGATGCGCCATAAACTGAAAGCTGACCCGAAAATTAGGTGATCTTTTATATGATGATGTTGCTCAGTAATAAATATAATGAAATACAGGATAGGCTTTCAAGCTTAACAAACGACGCTCTACAACTTGGCCAATAAGTTAACACGAACAAGACCAAATCCATGCGAATTAACGTTAGCAACAATTTCATAAATACAAAAAAAAAGACAATCACAAACATTGTATTTAACTAGGTATTTATATTATTTCAAGATTCCGCGGTATATATTCATAATTAGTAAATATATTATATTATACTAAAATATTATAATTCTGTTAATGAACAAAATTTCTGGTTTACATACAAAAGAACCAAATATTTTATCTGCGAACATTTACTACATAACTATAACACCAGAATACCACAAATGTTCTTTCCACTTGAAGTACTCCACTAATAGAGCAAGGCAACTAATTGAGATCCCAATCGCGTACATGATGAAAGCAATCTTGTAATAACCTATCTTTAAAGGTTGTAAAGGATAGCTGTCCAAGACGATGCTTGCATATTTTGCACGTCGAGCAATAAGAAAGGCATCCCATTCCCATTTCTGCCAAAGTCCTGCTTCCTTTACTTTCAACACAAATCGGTTCAATGAGTGAAGAAAACTTGAATTTAAGCTTACTGGATACGATTTGAAGCACACTCCAAAACACAATGGAGTCAGATGAAAATATGGCTTCTTTAAAGTCACTTGTTGCATATCCACAAATTTCCATTTATCCTGTAGAAGCACATAAGCCACGGAACGATTTAAATATTCCAATCTAACCTTAAAAACACGCCTTGTAAAAAGTTCACCTAATGGTTTTAAATTTTTTTGGTACTTATAATCATCAACATCATTATGATATTCTGGTGGAAGTAAAATTTCTGTATTACTTTGAAGTAATTCCTCTACGGTATTAATTGGAGTTGTAAAAATGGGCTTCATATTATAAGCCGTGATATATGGAAAATAGTAAGCATTTAGTATAAAACCAAGTGAAAAGAGTAGCGTATAGAATGTGAAGACTCTTGCAGTGATATTTTTAATGCGTATATTCATATTAGAGCAGTACAATAGTATTGCTAAGCTATACGACAAGTTACGTGCAACATCATTAGTGACTGTTCTTACCGGATGTTCTATGAAACACATTAGCACAGCTATATAAAAAATACTGAAGAAACAAACAAGCCAAATATAACGATCAAAAGGCCACACAATATGCCAAAATTTGGGAAGTTCATCTTCCAAAGGTACCATTATACATTTTTTGGATATTTCAACCGGATAGCTATACTGCACAATAGTGTTTGGTCTAGTATAAGATACTCCATGCAAAGACAGATTATACTCTCCAGCTTCAATTTTCAACAATGTACGTGATATGTTGAAAATATCATTGTTGATGAGTTTCAACTGATAATTTCGGTAACTGGCGAAATGTAGAATCGTTTGCACATAAGGTCCACAATAATGAGTATCTTCACTGCTCGCTGTGCTGTAACTGAAGGCGCGCGGTAAATCCTCACCGAAAGGAGTACGCAAAATGTCAGTCGAGTTTTCCATTTTCAAATCCTTAGTTGAGTAGATTGTTTTCTACACTACTATAACTTAATTTCTTCAAAGCCTGCACAGCACTAATAATTTCTAACAAATGCGTATTGTTATAAGCATAAAAATAACTCCAAGTGTGACAAAAACAAAATTGTTGTCATTAAAACTAATGTATCTCTTCGAACGGGTTTCATAAAAAAGTTTAAGTTTCATAACGAAAAATCAATGGTTTTATCCAGAGGCGGATATAGGTTAGATTGAAAAGTGGACAGTACACCTCAAATTAGTAAATCAAAGCATACATGAACCATTTAGTGAAATAGCTGCTTTGCAAAATATATTTGATTTCGCTACTGCAATTATTCAAGTACTTATTACCTATTTTAGGTCTTTACTCATGAATGTGGAGTATAATTTATATCGCATGTCCTTTCATATTTGCTTAAGTACAATTAAAAAAACAATTGTATTTATGAATTGCAAATTATTTTTTTATTTTATTGCATTGCGAAAAACGATAATGACAATGGTTATCCTTGACATATTTTGTGTTATTTGAAAGGTTAAGCACGTGATTCGCACAGTTGGACTTGAATTTTTATTCTAAAAATTTTCACTTCTGTCAATAAGTGTACATGTACTAATATCAATAAGATGTTTATTAGACATTGAAGAAGATAACCGAAATTTTAAAAAGTATTAGTAATATTTTACTTAATAAATTCAGTTAGTTAAGTCGTTCCCACCATGTCCATCTACACGTGTACTTTTCCGGTATTTTTGTTTCGAAGTCATACATATGAATAAAATTTCTCACATTAACCATTTGAAGATCATTAAACATTCCTCATACGAGGGTCACTATTTATATTTTGAGCCGTGGCAACACTGATTGTTGTCAGGTGTCATCTGACACCACCGTTGGATCATTCTTCATCAAGACAATGAGAGTGCTCACATATCTCGTCTAGCAACCGATCAATATCACTATTTAAACATTCAAAAAATCGAATTGATAGGTCATTTGCCGTACAGTCCTAATAACAGATTTGGCTCCTAATGGCTTCTTCTTGTTCTCGAACGTCAAAAATAAATTACGTGGACCACGATTTTTGTCAACGGAAGAAGCCGTTGTTGCATTTAAAAACCATGTTTTAGATGTGTCTAAAGAAGATTGGAAAGACTGGAATGGAGATTGGAATGGTTCAAACGCTAGTAAAGTCTTATAATCATAAAGGAAAATACTTCAACAAACAATACAACAATTTTCAACGACAAGTTAGTATATTTTCATTATTATTCTCAAAATATAAATAGTATCTTTACCTTTTAAATAGTATCTTTATCTTATACCCCCGTATCTTTAAAAAAATTAGTGTCATTAACGGTTAAAATACAATATTTCACGCACTAGTGGACTAATAACTACTACTGGTCCGCGGAGCGACTGTTCAAAAACTTTGGAATAGGTAACGTGTCGCATGAACATGTCTAATCTTGCTTTAGTTTTTGTTGATTTTTTTACATTACTTATATTTTTATTATTATTAATTACTATGTTAATTAGAATAAATTCAATATAAAATTGCAGAAGTCACTGTTCTTAATAAACAGTGCGGAATACATGGACTAGAACCATTTCAAATAGAACCCAAATATTTTTTAGATTATATTAATATGTTTGTTATCTCTATTAAGTTGAATTAAACTCAAAATACTTTTGTAGATATTTTTAGTGATATTCGGATGAACTGGAGTGACGTCTTAGATATGTATATGTAGGTCACACATTTCTATTTTAATAGCCCACACGCGCCCTTTTTTTCATAGATCGAAATAAATATTACTTATTGTCATTTATACTTGATAGATTGTAATAAAAAAAATGGATTCAAACAAAAAAATCCGGATAAATTGGATGACTAATAATGACTAACTTTCGTAAGATAGTCTCCGAAACACACTATTAAATCAATACTATATTTAATAAACTTCTCAAACTTTTCTCCATTAATTCTTAACGCTTCTTACGTTTACCGCAATAGTCTTCTTCGTGAAACATTAATATTTATTAATAAATAAGATAGTATGCTTAGTATTGTTTTTTGCAGCCTATATGGCATTACTTTTAAAAATTACTTTTAGACAAGACAAGATATTAGATAAGACAATATTATGGATATGTAATATTGTACTAGTGTCAATTTTTAAAAATCAAATAACATCAAAATCTTTATTTTATATTTCAAACTTAAGTTATTTAACGAAAAATTAATTCGTTATTTAAATATTTTGGTAATTTCATTAGAGTTTTGTATTAATACTTAATACCGATTTTGATGTACCTACGACGTCTTTTGAACATCAACTTTTAAGTCAAATATCACGATAAATATTAAGTAGAACTGAAACTACTGTGCTTGTGGATCAATATAGCGAATTAACTTTAAAACCTCAGACGGATTGTATATATACTCACTATCTCACTTGAATTGACTATTTACTATTTTATATGTAACTTTATCTGTAATAAATTACAGATTGTGTATTAAAAAATAATAGACGATTTTAAAGGGAGTTTTAATTTAAAGTTCACAATCTTCTTAATTCTTATTATAATATAATTGATACATTATATTATAAAAAGTTTATAATTACGGTATAAATATGCTTATATATATTATTTTTATATTATATATTTATACTTTTTTATATTTACTATTTTTAATTAGTTTTATTAAGTTCTATGTCTCTCTTATTTAATTTATACAACTATCGTATCTATTTAAAACACAAAACATATATGTTATAATATCATGCACTTTTAATAATTTTTTAACCTTCATGTTTCATGAAAGACTCTTTATTACCTACTGTAGGGTATTTGTTTACATTCAACATTTGTTTCTGCAAAGTAATTTGTGTACAACTCTTGTTACTATAATATTAAGATATAATATGTTTTTAAGTAACATTCAAATTAATGTAAAATTAATTAGTTATACTGCAATTTGTTATCTTTTTGTTAAACTTTTTATTACCGGTTAAGTTATAAATACACAAATAAACCAAAACAAACGCCAGCCAAGCACACGGAACTCATACCAAAACATTAGAACAGCGCAGAAAAACAGCTGCGAACAGTTGTCAACATAAGCAATTCGCTTGAATTGAATTCGCCGTCGTGGTTGCCAACTTTTAGTTTTATGGCTTAATTCGACAAATCAATAATTGAACAGAAATTTGTTTTTACGTTAAACTAAATTTATTAATTTAAATTTAATATCAATTTCAAAGGATTTAAAAACAATTTTGATTATAATAGATATAATTTATTTTATTTAATTGTTTGTTTAAATTGTTTAATATATATGCGCCGATTGAAAATATATTATAAAATAATTATAACACTTCTAAAAAATAGTTTTAAAACTATTTTAATATATTTTATAGTATAAACTCACAAAATTTAAACAAAATTCCGATTTAAAAAATTATGTTTTGTCATTTTAATTTTTAAATATAAATTTATAAAAGATTTAAAAATTTATTTGTTTTATGAGTTGTACATCATAAAGAAAATTTTAAGATATTTCATAAAAACAAAAAATAAGCACATAATTATTAAATAAAAAAAATAAAATGATTAATTTAATAATTGTAGTAATTTATTTATTAATTCATTATTAACTTTATCATTATCATTTAAATAACAAGTAAAGAATAGGTTATTGCTATAACAGCATGGGCCTTAGGCATATTATAGTAATATTATTCATTCTTGTGGATAAACATGATTAGTCATCGCTTCTAATTTGACAGGCACGAGTTCTAAGCCTCTCACTTGCAGTCCAAACAAATTATATACGGACTATAAACTAATTAAATAAAAATTCGATTATTCCAAAGACCACTGATGAAGAGTACTTGGCAATACTCGAAACAGCGTTGTATGATCAGCCAAACTTCAATAAAATTAAAATAAATTTTTGTGTTTGTCCTTCATTTTTTTTTTCTTTACTATTCAAAACCCTTCTAATATTATTCATTACTATTATAGAATAAAATGTGACTGCAAACAATTCCGTCTCTCTGCCAAATGATGGTTGGAACTACTTTTACAGAGTCAACATAAAATTCGCTAGCATATCGAAAACTTGAATATACGAGTATATATATGTTTATTAAATTTTTTATGATCAATATGATTGAAATAGATTCTTAAAAATCCTGTTTTTTAGAAATTCGTTTGATATTTCTTTTTTGCCTTTTCCAATCTTTGTGTTGAGAGTAAATGAAGACTTTTTACAGAAATTCCCTTGTAAGACGAACTTTTACTGTTATTAAATAAATTATTAATTTATTTTTAACTTTTAATTTGTTAAAACTATTTTTCATGCAGAAACCTCTTAATTATGTGAACAAAGTACATAATTAATCAACGAGACGAATTGAATTTATAAGGCAATGTCCGTCTGTCTGCTTGTTCATATAAAAGAATCTAACTGTCTGTCTCTTAGGAGTTCAACTTATCTTTTGATTTTTGAATCTATGGAATGTAGCATCGCATAGTCACTTTTTATAGATACAAACAAATAAAATTTAGATTCTATGAAATTACAAAATACAAAAAAGTACCAGATAAATAATTATATTTTGTAGGGCTCATATAAAATAACTGGAGAAAAAAAATGTATATTTATTAATTTATGTGAATATTTTTTTAATTTATAACAAAACACAGATAATAAGTAATATAAATAGTAAATAATCCTTTGCATCACATATTTCTATATGTACGAAAGGTATTATATGGTATAAGCCTCCTCTTTGTTATAACTTATAAAAATGTTGAAAAGCAATGTTGTAGAAGCAAGTATATAAAGGCAACGTGCCTCATAGCATTTAACTAAATCAGACATGTAATTCTCGTCTTGCTCCATCCAAGTTGTCACACACCTTCCAAGTGGTATTTTTAGGGTAGTTACCTACACTCGCTAGAAGAAAAAATG